TTGGCCAGAGAATAGAAAGGCTCAGTGGCTCTAGGTCGGGATTCACTGTTACAGTTAGAGGAGACAGAACTCCGTTGCTGAGAATCAGATTTACCACCGACTTTTCTATCACAAGACAAGGTTTCAAGGCGCAATACAGTATTATGTTTGGTGAGTAACCTATCTTACAATTCAAAGAGAACCAAAGTATGAAATAAAAATATATTTTATATGTATCGGCTGAATCCATCAGCTACGCTTTGAGCATGTAAAACTCAGTAAGGTCAGGTTGGCCGAACTTTAAATGCTGAATACGGTGAACATTTGTTGGTATTTGATTTAATACATTTTTCCCATTTTACTCTTCGTTAATCTTAATTGTCTTTGCATCTCTTTTCGGAAGTATTTGGAAATGTTCGGAGAATGTTCGAAAGAGTTTGAACCTAGTATGGACAAACTTCGAGAATGCTATGGGAAAAGCTAGATACTCTTCGAAAAAAAAAAAAGCCAGCAACTTCAATAGTTTAGTAAGCATGTTAAACTACTGATTCTTCCTGAAATTTTACCCACAGCTCCGATATTATCGCTCGTACTATACCCACACCTTCTTCATCAGTCGTTACGTAATCGGCACGTTTTGTGGATAATACAAGTTGGGGGGCGGCGGGTACTTCTATAAATTTCCGATAGTTGTGCGACGCGAAGGGTCCTAAACCCTGACCTATTTAAGGATGAAGGACATGAAAAATAACACCCGGCCAAGTCCCGAAAAATAGGCAGAACTAGAAGCCAAAATACTACAAAATGACGTAATAGTGGAATAATAAATCTTTTATTCGATGGTTTAACATACAATACGCCGAGATATTTTGCCAATATCTCGTATTTTCCACCTAGTTATACCTTTTTTATCATTTGCAGTGAATCCATCTGCTTCCAGTTTACCACCAGTAGCATCATCGTCAGTCGCACCACCCGTCACTCTTCCACCTGATGTTCAAAGGTAGGCGGAAATAAGTTTGTTCTTTCATGATTCTTGTTAGCTTTTATGTCTGTATGATTACTTTATTAGTCCCAGTGAATCGTTGATCATTCGGTGGAAGATTTTTGTTGACTGTATGATTGTTTTAAATAAATTTGTTAATTGATTGGTTGGTCGNAAAAAAAAAAAAAAGAAAAAAAAACTGAACAAAAGAAGCAATCCATCGTCTGATGATTGATTGATTGACTTATTGATTGGTTGATCCAATACATTATCATTATCATCATCAGCAGCAACATCATCACCATCACCACCATTCATTATTCACTAGAACTAGAAATGTCAAGTTTGATATTTCAACTGATTAATCCACAGATCGATTTTAATCAATTAAAATTACTCGATTAGTACAATTTATTACGGTTTGTCTCATTCCTTCTCAAACTCATTAATAATAAATCAAGTTAAAACAAAGAAAATTACAACTGTGAAGGAGGTTTGGATACCCGGTCCTAATTAGCATAGATTTTGACGATTTTACTTCTCTGTTTACTCCTTAGTTTTTGTTTCGATTGAGAAGATATATCAAACACTCGAGGCAGTGTTTCAACGGCTATCCAAACACCTCGAATTTCGTCAGAAATACTCCGCTGTGCGTCGTATTTTCAACTCTCTTCTCGGTGTTTGCATATCCCCATGAAACACTGTCTCTCGTGTTTGGTATATTACTTATTACATGTGTATGAATATACTAACTGAATTATCCACCTTTCATTTGCAGGGCACTTGTTGATCTTCTCCGATCTCTCGTCCAAATCATACAGAGGGTAAATATTTCAATTGATATCCATTTTTCTTGTGACTTAAAATATTTTTGGCTGAAAGGAAGAATTAGAAATGTAATTACACATGTTTTAGAACATATTGTTTATCTATTCTAAATTAGTATAAATCAACAAACATTAATTTTTCTATCACGAATACCGAATGACTACACTACACACTATCAAGGGCAATACCTATTCTGTTGTAGATTGTGAGTAGCCTATAGCTAGCAGTGTGCGGTTTTTAAAAAAATGGCGCCCGCTTCTTTGCGCACTCGAAGTTTCTGTGAAAAGGTTTTCGATAGAGTTGCGTGATGTTTGATGTGGGCGCTACCCGAGTCAACTATCAAGAGATAGAAATCTCGAGCTCATAATCTAATTGTTAAATATATTCGTATTCGATTTAGGGCTAATCATTAGGTAGGTACTCTACGAGTAGGTAGAGCAATGACAGATCCTAAGAATAAGAAGTGCTGTTTTAGCTAGTTCTGATCTGTTGGACAATGTATCAAAATTTGAAAATAGGTCACGAAATTTGAACCATACAGCTGAAAAGCACGGAATTGTTCTATCACAGGAAGTTCACCCAATTTAGTAGCTAGTCGGGTCAGTTGTTCACCTTTTCGGCTAAAGGTTTGGACTTCGAGGAAAAGCCTCAATAGCGCTTTCCCAATCCCCAGTCCCAACCCCATGAGAATCTACGAAGCTGGAAAGACGACAGTTGCAGTAAAGTAGATTCTTTCGAGTCCTTAGAGAGGGAAGCAAGAGTTAACTGAAATATTTTATACTGTTTGACCTCCATTAGCCATGGGAGCCTGTGAGCGCAAAGAAAAACTATCTATCTATCAAGCTAGCTACTTACTGACCAATAGCTTCTTTGTTTTCTTAGCTTCAAGCACTTGCCGGAGGATCATTTTCTCCAGCAGAATTTGAAAACTTTCGAAGTGAGTAAACACTGTCAAGTTCCTCGCTGGCAGTTACACAGCAACACGTACAGTGATCGGACTCTTATTTCTCTTGACAATATCAATACATCCTCTAGCAAACAGAGAGGAGAATAAAGACAAACATCAACGACTTGCCTTTATATGGCCTTGGTATAACACCAAATTGCCACAAACAGTGACAAAAGCAAAAGCATGACAATAATTCTATGATGGCCGCCATGAAAAATTAACTATTTATACCATGCCATAGAAAATACATCCAATCGTAATACAAGAAAACCGTTAACCCTAACCCTAGCCCATCCTTCCCGTCACGCGCTGCGCGTTTGTCGCATTGATTATGTTGGCCTCTGTATTTTTGGTATAAAATCAATGTTCGTGTTTATACCGGGAAAATACAAGTAACTCGTGGGATATTCCGTGGTATACCCCTCGAAAGCGTTCCATAACTAGTGTGAAAGGAGCTATTTGTTAAGCATGAAATAGGCGGTTGATAAAGTTATATGGTTACTGTTGTCCAGTGCAGTAGCGAGTAAATTTTGTCACGTTCATACAGTTTGTTTGTTTTTTTTAACTTGCGTTGTTAACGTAGCGTACATTTGTAGAAATGTAGTCAGTATGCTGTTTAAGTTCATGCAATTCATGCACATGGAAATTACCATAATGAAACAAGATTTTTTTGTTGTTGTTGCTTTTTCACAGATCAGACGCTGCAGATTCTACAGCAGGCAGAAAGTCAGTTAGTCAATCCCAGGTCTTCTCGGCTAAGAGACATCCGCAAAATGAAGAGAGAGATACCAGAATTATCAAATCCACAGGACCTGGTACAAATGCTGGAGAACATTCAGCGAAGATTGCTGGGTTGAGATGTTTAAGTCAAGAAAGCTGCCTTAAGCAATGTCTTAAGCTTCCTAACTACCTTCCCTTAAGGGAGGGAGTCATTTTACAGGCTTCGCTATGCCACATTTTTGTGAACGTATCGTCTCTACTTTTTCCTGCATGATATTTTTACGCTACTACTATATTAATAACCAATTTTACATACAGTTTTACCTTGTTAATCTGTTTTCGTGGCTCACTTGTAAACTAGCTGGTGCGTCCTGTGAACTTTGCTTATCACGTCTATGAAACGCACCGTTCTCATAGCAAGTGTGCTGTCCAACTAGAATATACTGTCTAGAATATACTGTGCCTCTCTGATGTCTATTTCTGGCATATTTTAAGCAACAGAATTAAACATATAGAAATCTAGGGTTGATCAGGAGTGAATCATGTTTTTCATCCACTGGCACCAGTTTTAAAGATACATGTAGCAATCGATGCTGGACTCCGTCCAAAATATCCTTTGAGGATTTCGCTTCTTAGAAAATGTTTCATAAAGCTCATATCTGATACAGCATGAGTAATAAGAAATGTGAACTCCAGTCTTCTTGTGTGTGTGAAATATTCAAAGATAAAATGCTACTAGTTGTAATAAAAGTCATCTATATAACCATTTAAAACCTTTTTTCGTTTGTTCGCGCCATTTGCGGGCGTTAAGGTGACTCCAGCTGAAGCTGATCGAAAGGAAATGTTACAATATAGCAATAAGTTGGCGCAGTCGGTTAATAGTTGGGAAACCTCGGCAAAGGTGAAAAATGACTGTAATATACCATCCAGAATAGGTAGAAAGCAATAATCCTAAGCCCACCTATTGAAAAGCAGATTAGCCATAATCCGGGATTAAAAGTCATGAGGGTTTTCAAATACACAGACTTAAAAGTCATAGGTGATGCAACACTTGCTAAGGGTTTCAAATACACTGAATAATAAGCAAGTCTGACTAATAGCTAAATTGAAATGCTCGCCTTCGGCTCGTGTTCGATCGACGACCCTGCAGTGTCTCCTTGCACTCCTTAACTTTCGCAAACTTTGTGACTGTACAATCCACTTTTAGAATGTAGGTCAAAGTAGCACTGCATAACTACTAATAGGAACTAGCTCCATTTTCGGATAAAAAAAGATTTCGTAAAATATTTTAGAATAAACAGTAGCGATATAAAAACATGACGTTTCGGCGACGACATGCCACCATCATGTAACATTAAATATTGAAATAAAAGTGTAAAACTACAAGTCAATATACACTTTTTTTTTTAATAAGAATATTGATTTATGCATTTCTCTCTCCACTATTAAGGAAAAATCATAACTACAGTATGGGCTGCATTACCCAAGCTCGTTTACTGGGTACTAATAAAAACAAACACCGTGAGATGGAATAAAACGGCTGAGGGCAAACGCCCAAAGCCGATTTAATGAAGAAATAATTTCTTTTTATTTATTTATGTATTAAAATTATGAATCTAAAGAAAATCATATCGAGCCCAGTAAAGGTGAGGGCACAAACCGAGCCCAGTAAAGGTAAGGGCACAACACTAACCACGGAAAAAAAAAAACAGCGGCTGGAAAAAAGAGGAGGAGGAGGGGTGCGAGAAATCAGCGTATCATCCACCGGAGAGGGCAAGAATGAATAGCGGCCTTGTCGCAGGTCACGTCTTAACTACAACAATACAAGGGGGTACTGAATATATTGAAATCCCTCTACCCTTTATCCAGGCTTGCCGCGTGCACAAATTATTACGTAACAATCATTGTTGCATAATTGCCTTCTACAGTTGACCACGTAAGGCTGTAATAATATATTACAATTGGCCGGGGAGAAAAACATAAACTGCTACTTGCGGAGCGAATAATCTCTTTTAGCCGAGGCTAAATATTCTTATTTTTCGGCTGTCGCTTAAGGCTGAAAATATTCTTGCGAATATTAATTCTTATATTACAGCGTATGACATTTCTCTTTTTGAATGTATTTGGTGTACGGATGGTGTTGAAGTAATTTTGGAACCAGCCTGTAGACATTAAAGTCTGGTATGACCCACATAACCTCTTGCAAAAATGTTATTAGAATCGAACATACGGCTAGTGATGTTTTCGTTGCTTTTTTGCTGGTTTTGCCGTTTAGAGAAAGGAAGAATCTTATACGGTTTAGTTAAAAAGATATACAATGAATTATATTCTTTTCAAAATCTAACACACTCAGGTTTATTCTTAAAATATTCTTAGTACTAAAATTTCGCAAATTTCAGCCTCGATATTCTTTTAAAATATATTCTTATAAGAAAAAGAGTGCATAACAATACCAATCTTGTAATAATTTGCAGTTGAAAATCGTGACATCATGTTTTTACATCGGTACTGTTTATTCTAAAATATTTCCGTTTTCCTTGCCGAAACGTCAAGTACAATCTTGACGTTTCAGTAGTTTACACTAATGAATTTTCTTCTTAACAAGTTCTCAAAGCCTATATATCATCCCAGTTACAGCTTCCTGACTTCAAAAAGTTCTTAAGGCAGTAATTACTGAACTGAATCTCATGTGCGCACGTAAATTTGCAGAATAGGAAGGTTTACAAGTCTGCAAAAACTGGTCAAAAGGAATCTTCTCTTTTCATTTTCGATCTCTCCTCTACCAACGTCTGACCAAAGACAATTATATTGATAATAATATATGAACAAAATCAAATGAAGGTTCTTTCTGCAATCTCGTTGTTTGAATTTTAGAAGTCTAGAATAAACTTCAATACCATGCCGGCTGTATTTTGTGCCAATATAACAGGTACGTTTCTTCTCTAATTTCGGGCCTCTTTTCTTTTGAATGTTAAAATTCCGACGTTCAATAGTTCTTAATTAAGAGATATATCTATTTTCGTGAACAAAAATGTTAAAGTCCGCGCATTCGGACCAGAACAACTCGTCCAAGATACTCTTTGGTGCGAATGAATTTAAATTGTCTTCGGACAATTTTC